ATATAATGAAAAATCAATTAAAGTTGTACTTATGAGAAAGTATTTATCAAAAAAATATTGTCTGAAAATTGTAATTTTTTACTTAGGTCTAATGAGTCATGTCACAGTGAATAAACTTTTCCAAGCAATGTACAATTCAAAATATATCTATAGTATGGGATATTCAACAAATACGTCGTTAAATAATTTATCAAAATCTAATGATAAACAACAACAACAGGAGATTGAAGAAAAAAAATTGTTGAGCAAGAAAGAAAGATTAAGAATTATAGCAAAAGATTATGGAATTACTATTACCATATTTCATATAGGAATTTCTCTAGTATCTTTGGGTGCTTGTTACGCAGCAGTAATTAGGTTTGTTTTTGCAATTTTTTTTTCTTCGATGTTCTTATAAAATCTTAATATTTTTGAATGTTATTTAATTTTTTTCTAAAAACAAATTAAAAGTTAAATATACTTTACAAAAATATATGAAAAAAACAAACTTATACATTAATCGTATTAAAATGATTTCAAATATTGATTATAAAAATATTGATTTCAGAGGAATAGATTTAAAACCTGTAATTCAAAGCATTTTCAAATTAGAGAATGAACAAATAGAAAGTATCCTTGGTAATTCATCAACTTTTTTGGTTGCATACGGTATTCATAAGTTACTAGCGCCCATTCGACTTTCGATAACATTAGGTGTAACACCATTTCTTGTAAAACGATTAAGAAAACTTGGAATTCTTAAATCTCCAAAGCAAATAAAATTAAGTACATAAGAATAATACTTAAGTGCATGATTATAATTGCTATACGCTTTGTAATCTTTATAATTTATAAAAATTGTATAAATTATTTGATGAAATAAACTTATATACACATATAAATCATTTATTTTTATGTATATATTCGAATTTATTATATATAAAGAATATAATAAGTTGTAATTACTTTACACAACGTCACGTATATTTCATGTATGATATTTAGCGCATCTACGATAATGTAAGTACGGCTGTAATTACAATAGTTTTACTAGTAAGTTTTTCTTTGATTAATCGCCGTAAATACATATGACATACACAAAAGCTCGGCAGTTTCAATGGACGAATTGATCAGTTATATTGGAACAATGATTGCGCTCGGTACGCAAATTTTTACCGAGAATTTTCGAGTCGACTCCCATTTATCGAGCCTTTCGACATTTGATTACGTATAGGAAACATACGAAAATGCCAATTACTTGGCAAACATGTATATGTACATAACTTTTAAAAAATATATTATAGTACATAGTAAAATTAACGTATGTAAATATATATATACAATTCAGTTAACCTAGAGTAATACACACGTCTTATAATTTTATTTTATATCTTTCAAAGATATACTTGCCCCAACTTTATTCTATAAAGGCAAGATATTTGTAAATGCATTAAGAAAAGAAAATATCATTAAAAACATTTTTAATAAAATTCTTAAATGAAGTAGAAAAAAAAAATGTTTAAATATTTTTGGAGTCTTATAATTGAATATTGTAAAATATTTCTAAAGCTGTTTTGTAAGAATATAAAAATTGTTCGCGAGATTAGTAAGCGTAATTGTTTTCAATTTATTAATGATCAAACCCGAGATAAAAAGATTGAAACAATGAGACATGATTATTTTTTGTGCATAGTAGAAAAGTAGAATATTTATAAACATTGAACACATTTTTGTAAATAGTTTGAGCATTTATAACTTAAAATGATGAGCTATTGTATCATAATGAGTTATGATTTCTATTAATGAAAAGAAGAAGAAATTATTACTTAAATATGATGCAAAAATTGTCTAATAATACTTGCAAACTAATCAATGATTAGTTTTAACATTTTATACAGTTCTTCTACAACTCTTATAAAAATACAACAGAAAGATTCACAAATAGCTTAAACAAACATATAAATCATTTTAATAAAAAAATATTTTGGCACAGTACATTTGTATATCTTTGTTACTCTTTATAATGCACTGATAAGATATAAAAATAATACTAAAATGCATATTTCGTTACTCAAATCTCTTTCCGATAAATTAAGTTTAGTAACATTATATATGAATTGAGATATTTTATCAAATGCAATAAAATACATGCTTTCAGTATTTGAGTATTCTTTGAGCGTGACATTCAGTAATTCGATATGGCAGTTCAAAAAGGCAAAATTTTTTCGTTTTTAGAGCATATAATTAGTTGAATTTTTAAACATACGCCTCAGCACGACGTCCTTGTATGTGATTAAAAAACTGTCGCCAACTAGTCAATGTTTTACTTGACCATACCCAAAAACTACTTGTTATACCAACAATCATAGCCATTAAATATTTTATCATGAAAACCTCAAATTCTGGACGTCTTCCAACATCGCGAGTACGCTCTCCAACGGGACACGGCATTGAATATAAAGATTGCGGTCCAGGTCTTGAACACATCTCCATATTCCATGTCAACATCCATTGATCAAAATAGGCTTGCTCATAAAATAAGCAGGCAATGACAATCAATGCAGGAACTATGTATAACACAGAAAATATGCCAATACGTATCATTAACTTTTCTAATTTATCAGTCTTTGTACCATCATGTTTCATAACAGTACGTATACGGAAAAGAGAAACAAATCCAGCCAATAAGAAGGCAGTTCCAAGTATTAGATAGACACACAATGGTGCCAAAACAAATCCACGTAGAGCTTCAACATTCCAAAGACCCACGTAACAAACACCAGACAATATGTCTCCTACAAAAATAATATGATTTATTAATTATTAATCAAAAATATATAAATTATATTATATAATTTTTGTGTTCATGTTTAAATGACTTACCCTCTACCTTTCCCATTGCAAGAATAGTAACTGTTTTTATTGCTGGAGCAGCCCAAGCAGCTAAATGAAAATACTGTGAATTAGCTTCTATTGCTTCATGACCCCATTTTAATCCAGCTGCTAGGAACCATGTCAATGTCAAGATAACCCACCATATACTGGATGCCATTCCAAAAAAATAAAGTACCATAAAAAGTACCGTGCATAATTCATGCTTGGTACCTTGTGTTATGGTTGATGCCATTTGAATTCTCATATCTAAAGGAGGTGGAAAAGGTTCTCTGCATGCAATAGAATTGCCAGCTGCCCAACCAATCACATATGCCAATGCTACCATAAGATAACATACTGACAAAAAGATGATTGGTCTTTCAGGATACCTAAATATAATATAATATATTATAATAATTTATAAATATATATATATATGTATTTTCTGTTTTTAAATGTTATAACAAAATCTATTACAATATGTTTTATAAAAAGAAATAGAATTTATAATTATTCATGTACAATAATTTAAATTCATAATTTTAAATTAAGTATACGTTTCTAATTACTGAATCTAATTATTACTATTTTAATTAAAATTAAAAGTATGATATTAATTAATAATGTATAACTTTTTCTGATCATCCTACATTATGCATCCTACATCCTAATAGGTCTACTATTATTACTATATGTATTAGTATGAAACAATCAACTTTTTTTTACCTGAACCGATCTGTGTCAATGAGAAACGTCAGAAAGGTGAAAAAACAAGAAGCCGCACAAACGGATGCCCACGTACCAACCCAAATTCTTGAAAATCGTCTTTCTCTCTCGGTAAAAAACATTCCGTCGCAAGGTGCGCCGCAATTAAGCTCAACTTTATCGCCAACCTTCAGCGAATAACCGAGTTCATGCGGGACTTTGAATTGCATCGGGCATACAAAACCAAAGTCCCTTGCACCAAGCATAAATCCACTACCGTAAGTTTTTGGTCCTCCGGTCCAGGATGGTTGAAATTCAGCTACTGGCATACGTGGTGGTGTATATACCGGTGGCGACGGTTCCGGTGGTGTAGTTTCATTATGACCTACGCATAGTTCAGGGCCACCGTTTTCAGGTAACTTGGAACAATCGAGATTGTCTGGCCAAGCGAAACCGAAACTATTCATTAAGCGTTCGCATCCTGCACGAGCACTTTCGCATAACGATCTACACGGAGGTATAGCTCTATCGATAATGGTGCATACAGGCGCGTAAACCGTGCATAAAAAGAATCGAAGATCAGGGCTACATTTCATTTTAACCAAAGGCGCGAATTGATGTACTTCTTGGCCGGCATCTTCTTGTTTTTGATGGTTCATTAAATTTGGCATAATCGTCTCGTTATATGGTATATTCATGCATAAATTGATGGTGATCGGTTCGCATCTTCCGTGATGAGCCAACGGATCTTTCGTGTGAAGAGCATTGACACTGAACACGGCCACCGAAAAAACATAGATCGCGTAACGCGGAATCATTGTTGCGTATCGTTTGTCGACCGCCACTTCCGAGATCAATCGTCACGCGAAGTAGCTTTCGAAAATACGCGAATGCACCACGCCTTCGAACATCACCAATGAATCGTGCGAGACATAATAATACTGAACGGAAGAGCGAGGAAATAAGCGTACCTAGCGACGATGATGGACGCGACTACAGTACTGTAAACAGAACATGGCGAATACGTTCTGAATAGTAAGGAAACTCTTTTGAAACTGATGTATATTACTACTGCCATCTATGAAGATATATCTAAACATTTTGTAATTTGCGGGAAAATTTTTAAGTCTATTTTCAAAATATAAAGTATAATTTTTAAATTATTTACCAACAAATTTACGAATAAATAAATAAAGAATAAAATGTTTGATATAATATGAGCTATATTGATATAATATTACATATATTATATAATTATATGTAACGTAACAAAATATTTTAAAATATAAAATAAATATAAAAATAAAAATATAAAATATATATAATAATAAAAAAATATAAATATTTATAAATATTTTATTGATATAGAAATTTTAATTACTATAACAATAATTCTATAAAAACTATAGAAATTTTTAGGTTATAAATGAAAAAACATGATGTCAATCGATTCATTTTGATTTTATTTTTTTCCCGACATATAATGCACAATACGTTCCATTTCATTCATCATTAGTTGTAATGTTTATTCATCGCAGATGATTAGCGTTGTCGTAAGTACTATGGTTTTGTTATATCTTTTGTTTTAATTATATAGTACATACGTGCTCGTGAATTTCGTGCACTTTTAGACGGGGTCGCACCTTCGGGCGGTCATCATTATCTCCATAATATATAATGGTAGTTTTCCAAGTGTATGCGAGTTGCCCGAAATACGATTCACAAACGGCCTCATTATCGTAAACAAATAAATAATTTATCTCCTCGGAATACTCTCAACTTGAATCGTCATATTAGACGTAGGAGGTCAGCCTTACGATCTTACGATTAGTAACACTTAAGATTCAATACGGAAGATTGAAATATATCGAGGGAGCCACTCTTTCGTCTTCTCGTAATTTCAACGGTATTTAATATCATTCTACCCATCATAAAACAAAAAAAGTCTGTCATTAAAGAAAAATGATCTTATGATCTGATAGCACGATCGAATGAACTTTGCCCGTTTTACTTGTCTCGTTCATTCTTCTGATTGAAATCAACAATTCCTTTTTCTAACTCGTATCGTATCAAGAAGAAAAAGGTCACTTTAGTTATACACCATATACACTCTGCTCGAGGAAATAAACTACAAATCATTTGTACAAATATCTATGTACCATAATATGTATACATTTGTATTAACGTCATAATTTATTACGTAACATAATAACAAGGAAGACGACTGATAATGATAGATTTGAAATTTTTATAGCAAGGGTAGACAAGATAAGTAAAATAATTTAGGGCACAAAACTGATTTATGCAATATTATCATATACATATATATTACATAGTATATATTAAACGCTATATCCTTTCAAATTTTATTTATCAATGATTAATTTTCAAATGGATCGTATACGTTCGTTGGACCTATTATTTTTCATTTTCGTTTTGAAAAAGAACAATTGTTTGTAGGAAGGAAGATTTAAATATTATTTGGGCGGTTTGAAACATGGATTGGCACAAAACACGAGATGTATGCTTCGCAAAGTGTACCGTGAGACATCTATGAGTTTCACTTTTTCCTCTGAATGATTTATTTGCACTTCTCACTGCTAGTGGGGCGCATTAAGAATTCCGAGAGAAATGTTTATAAATTATGGCACGACCTGCGCGCGGTTTATCTTAAAACGTCCCAGAAACGTGAAATCATTATTATTATTGTTTTAACACTTTTAAGTCTTTCTTCTCGAGTATTCGTAAATTTATATTAATTCTTACATCTTGTGTATTATCTAGATCCATTAAATCGTTAAAGTTTATTAATTAATTAAATACTCGTAATAAATCATAAGAATTCGTTAGATCAGTCGATTGGGTAATTTTATTAAAATAAACACATTTGATGATGTATTTGGAAGAAAAGGAAGACGAAAAGTGGCTCGTGTTTTTACCTCGACAGAAGTCGATTAATGTCCTCTGTCCGTATACAATCATCAAAGTGTGCACGCAAATGTTGTTATGCACACATATAGGATTAAAATTATGGTATACGTACAGAGGTTTGCTGGCAAATACGCGCCTGTACATAATTACGTGCAAAATCCATTCGCGCAATGTCAGAAGAGAGTTGCCTCTTGAATTGTGAATTGTGCTTAGCTCTTTGGAGGTTAGGTTATACACGTGAAGCATGCGTTTTGTTCATCACGTGTCGTTCGAGCGATGCTTGAGTATATTTTCATCAAGATATTTGTCTATTAAAAAATTAGAGGTAAAATATAATATCTAGATGACATGGTTAATTTGATGAAAGGTTTTTTCGATTTTTAATTAGGTTAGATTTCGATTCGAATTCCTTCAAAGAGTTAAACCTATTCGCTTGTTTCGAAAAAAAAACATAATTGATGCAATCGTTATTTGTAATAAAACGATGTGTACAATTTATACATCTTTCTTGATTAGCACCGAACTTAATCACTAGTCAGTTTACGTACGCGTCATACCTGTATAACAGTGTCCACGCACGATCTACTCTACTAATTGTAATTATGTGTTTAAAACTTTGAGTGAAATGCAATTCATTCTTCTGCCGTTGCGTCGTATGACACGCAACAAGTAAATAGAGATTAAAATACTTTCGAGACATTCGAAAAAATGGACAGACTTTCTTGGAATATTCAGCAAGATTAATATATATAATGCTCTCGCGTAAATTATCGCCAGCGCGCATTATATTATATTTATTCGTACTTCGCGCACGTATAGATATATTTTCATCTATTTATCGATCTATCTACCGTCCTTCTAGCGACACTATTCGTGCCCAACTAACTTGTCCGAGTATGTCAGGTGCGTGTATATCGAATCGCGTAATTTTGTACACGATCAAAAACGAATTACATGCAGGAATATATTCATAAAATATTTCTATTTACAATTTTCATGATTCTTCAAATAGATCCAAGTTTTATTTTATTACTAGACGTTATAATTAAATTTTAAGCCAATGTTAGGCTTATTTATGCTCACGTTGGCATAATTTTTTAAATTTTAGGCGATATATTTAAAATGGATAATAAATAAAATTTTTTAATTGTAAATATATATTACTTGATATACACTTTAGATAAAATTTTAATTTATGTAATTGCTGTTGTCAAGATAAAAAGATCATATCGATAAATATAAAATGACCTGGCAACTATTGCCACCCAATATTTATATAATGTATTAGAGGCTAGAGAAAAATTTAATTAGCACGATTCGTATGGCGACAAAAATCTTTTTTTTTTGATTAACAAATGTAATTTCTTTGTGTGTAAGAGAAATGTATATATATATATACACATATTATATATAACAAAAATTCTCTAGACGAATATAAAGATGTTGAAATAAGCTTATTGAAGATTTAAAATCCCTTTAGCATAGTATAAGAAATTTATTAATCTTTGTACTCGTCTAAAGATTTTTTATTATTTTATTAAAATCACACGATCCAAAGAATTAATAGCATCCTCCGAATCTTGTAGCTATAATGCAATAAAGAAATTTTTATCGTCACGTATGACGCTCTCCACGCATATAATAAAATTTTATGGTGGCAGCAGTAACTAGGCCACTCTTGAAAATTACGCTCTTAAGAGATTATATTCGAAACGTTAGATTTTCTTAAAACGAATAAAAAACTTTCACGTTAAAAATTTGTGTACATTGTGTATTATTCGATATTTGTTCGATTTTGAAAATCGATGAAGAAATGCCTTAAAAAATAAGAGCTACTTGGTAGTTTTTGTAAAGAGATAAATCATATTTTCTAAAAATACGATTTGTAAATTTCTAATAACTTTTAAAGCATCGTAAAATTATGTCGGAATAATTTTAAATTATACGTAATAAAATTTCGTGTCGAACACGTTATAAAACTCGGCTGAAGTTATATTTCTCCTTTGAAATTTAACTTTATTTTTTTCGAATGGAAAGCTTCGTGAACGTCATTCACGCGACTTACACGTATCAATACCCGTATACCGATATAATTTCTATGAATTTCACGCGTGACGTTCACGCGTCCCATCGCTGTACGATGTTTCCAAAAAGGAGCATATTTGGCTACGCGGATCACGATATAACACGCAACACCTGCACACGTCGAATGTAATAAAATGAAAAAGTAATGGAACAAAATCGAAGGAAATTAGTAGTACGGTTGCACTTTTGAGCAAACGATCGCTCTCATCGCGTATCGTAGTGAACATTTCGCATATACGCAACGAGATATCGTACGCCTGGGAAGATATATATTTGGCACTGGATTCCCGTCAATTGAGCTTCTCAGGCTCGAATCGCAATTCATCTCGCGTTAATAATAAAGTACGATCGTTTCGACCTTGGATCAGTAATGTCGATTTATTTTTTTTTTTACGAGAAATCATATTTTTGTCGTTCAAATATATCGATGACACATTGATGTGATTATTATAAGGATGAATGCTTATCGTTCAAATATATCATTTGCAACGATAGAAAGATTAACAGGATTAAGAATTTTCTCGCGAATAAACGTCGTGTCTTAATAAAATCCGGAATTTCAACAAAAACAAAATATTTCGAACACACGTGACCACTCTAACGTACCGACATTACCGAGCCATGGTGAAACGAGGCGACAGCTACGCCATCGCGGCGACAAGAGACGCGACAAAATACCGCTTTTTCTCGCTACATATCGGCTATACTTTCGCGTTTACGTTCGCGTATCGCTGCGATTAGAAGATCCGCGAAACTTATCGAGATCAAAAGGAACGATATCGACCAACGATCGAGAATTTTAACGAGGAGAGAAACGTGTATACGTTACTTACGTTCATTTTTCTCTCGAGCTGCAGCCATTGGACGCGATTACCAGGCCCCGTGTTCAATACATTTTCGAATCACGCGTACGAACTGGCAAATACATTTTTTTTTTTTCTTTTTCTTTTTTTTTTCTTTTTTGTTGTATCGTAATGTACCAACGCGCGGTCGTTTGAGATATACGAAAAAAATATATATACGCGGCCGCGCGTGCATTATGACTAGACACGTTTGTAATCCTCGTTTCGGCGATCGAAAACCATCCATCGTCATCCTACCGACGCTCGCCTCTTTAATACGTCGAGATATATATTCGCCATCTTACGCTGCACGTACATAGGATGGACCATGTAACGTTATTACACGTCGTGTAATTGTTTTGTCGTATAATGACGGGGAGGGGGGAGGGAGGGAAGAAAAAAATTGTTGTCGAGTAATAACGAAAATAATTGAATTTACGTTAAATGGCCCATCTCTATATACACATATATAGCGGCAAAAAAAGTTGAATCGATCGTACGATGACCTCGTGACGAACGTCGACGACTTGGAAATATCGACAAATAACGAGGGATAACTGACTTACGAGTAACGTTCTCGTGATTGGAAAAAGATTCCGTTGCTCAATAATTTTACGATCCTGATTTTGAATTTGATTAATTTATCAATTTTTTTCAATGCATGGAAATTGAACATCTTTAAAAAAAGATATTTATATTATATATATATATATATTTATATATATTATATTATATATTTATATATATATATTTATATATATTAGATAAGAGAATATTACTTCAATGATCCCTCGTGCGAATCGACGTGCGATCACGATCGAATCGTCGCAGACAAGATCGATATCATTTCGACGATAACAATTGAGCATAGAACGCCGTAAACACGTGTCCAAACTAATCCTAATTTGATCTTTAAACATTTGTCCCTAAAAGTATTCTCATTCGCTTCGTAGTAATAGGGTTATTCTCGTATCCGGCTAAAATACGCGGGAGTGGGGGGAGAGGAGTTATGTGTGTGTGTGTGTGTGTGTGTGTGGGACGAGCGTCGGCAGGGGGTAGGTTCTTCGACCCGTGTCACGAGGAGGACATCGTACGACGATGATATGGCACAATATTTCCCATTTATACGTCACTTTATCCATTCCTTAGCTGTTCATCACGGTGGATCGCCTGGAGTAGCCTCGTCTCGTCACCGTTTCACCCTGAGCCTCGCACTCCCTTTTCACCCGATCGATTATGTCCGCCACCAACTTCTCCTCCTTCTCCCTTTGCTGCTCCCAGTCTGGCCCCTTCCCGATCTGTCGGGACACGTTTCACAATTTTCGCCCTTACTCTCTCGACCGAAACCATCCCGATTGATCGATGAAGGAGGGGGGGGGAGGGAGGGGATTCGAGCAAGCGAGGAAGAGTCACGCATGCTGGGAGGGGAAGGGGGAAGGGGGGAAGGAGAAGGAGGAGGGGAAGGGGAAGGGGGGGTTGTTCTTTCGTCGTTTTCGCGCATGCAAGTCAATAAAATAAAGTTTTTCGAATTGATTAAGTTTTCGATTGATGTGGGATGTGAAACGAAGCTTTAGATTAAATGAACAGTTGTGGAGAAGTAACGAAATTTCGAATAAAGTTACTTTAAGCGATTATTATTTCAAATAACTTTATTTGAAATGAAGCTCGAATGATATTTATTAATTTCAGTAAATTGGAATAGATAATTACAATAGGATAATAAATTGTTGAATTGGTAACTTTATTCTTAATTTGGGCTAGTAAAATTTTTCTGGGCCGCGAAATCGTCGCGAGAATCGTTGGAGAGTCGTTAGAAAGTCGAGAGAGAGCTGAATCGAACGAAAATAGCGCATAATGCTTAGTTGCAAGAAAAAACAGCCTCTCCGATTCATTCTCGATATCGCTAGTTAAAGAGTGTAGAAAAATTTCACTCCACGAAAAGCCAAGGCCCAATAATAATTTCTAACGACTTTTTAGAAAATATTCGTATCATGCTCGAGAGAAAAAATTGTGAACGAATAGAAACGGAGGAAAGTGAAAAAAAAAATTTCACTCGACGAAAAGCTAAGGCCCAATAATAATTCTTTCGAAAATATATAAAAAATTATTAGAAACGGAGGAAAGTAAAAAAAAAATTTCACTCGATGAAAAGCTAAGGCCCAATAATAATTCTTTTGAAAATATTCGAATGAATAGAAATGGAGGAAAGTGAAAAAAAAAATTTCACTCGACAAAAAGCTAAGGCCCAATAATAATTCTTTCGAAAATATTCCTATCATGCTCGAGAAAAAAAATTGCGATCGAATAGAAACGGAAGAAAGTGAAAAAAAAAATTTCACTCGACGAAAAGCTAAGGCCCAATAATAATTCTTTCGAAAATATTCGTATCATGCCCGAGAGAAAAAATTGCGAACGAATAGAAACGGAGGAAAGTGAAAAAAAAAATTTCACTCGACGAAAAGCCAAGGCCCAATAATAACTTCTAACGATTCTTTCGAAAATATTCGTATCATGCTCGAGAAAAAAAAAATTGCGAACGAATAGAAACGGAGGAAAGTGAAAAAAAAAATTTCACTCGATGAAAAACTAAGGCCCAGTAATAATTCTTTCGAAAATATTCGAATGAATAGAAACGGAGGAAAGTGAAAAAAAAATTTCACTCGACGAAAAGCTAAGGCCCAATAATAATTCTTTCGAAAATATTCGTGTTCGAGAAAAAAAAATTGCGAATGAATAGAAACGGAGGAAAGTGAAAAAAAAAATTTCACTCGACGAAAAGCCAAGGCCCAATAATAACTTCTAACGATTCTTTCGAAAATATTTGTATCATGCTCGAGAAAAAAAAATTGCGAACGAATAGAAAGAGACTGAAAAAAAAAAAAAAATAAATCCAATCAACGAAGCAACGATGTTAGGATGAAGCGGGGGGGAGGTGACTCGAAGACTTACGTCAGAGGTCTTCCGAGCCTTCTTGTTGGCCGGCTCTTCCCTGTTCTCGTCGTTTTCGTTGTCGGAATGGCGAGAGCTTAGATGACCAATGTAACCTTTACGGGACTTGAAGTAAGCGTTACAGCTGTGGCACTTGAACAGTGGCGCCGGCTGGGTGACCTGGGTGGAGACGTGGAGTTTGTACTTGTGCCTGTACCAACGGGTTCGAGACGGTAGCACCTCGCCGCACCACTTGCAGACTACGGAACCGTCGTTTTGAATGAGGTATTCCAGCAGCTTGTAAAACAACGTTTATTTGGTTTTTTTTCTTTCTCTCTCTCTTTCCACCTTTCTCTTTTTTTTTTTTTTTTTAATTAATTTTTCTTTCGATATCTCTAATACCCTTCCGTCTCGATTCGAGATAGAAATCTAACATCTGATCGAAATTTAGCTCGATACCTAAGAATAAATCTTCTTTTGCTCTAATTTTTTTTTTTTGTAGTTGTTTGAACGAACGATAGATAGAAAAGGTGTCACCCGAGATAAACGGAGTGGAAACAAAATCCGCTTCACCGTGGCCAATTACACGGAGGAATTGCGGTTCAACGAACTCCGAAAGAAGAGCAAACGCTAATGAAAACCGGAGGGTAAAACTGGATAAGAGACGGTGAAGGAACGCTCTTCACGGTTTTTTTCTTGGGCTGCTTTCCATTCGGACGACACAGTTTTCATGCGAAAGTGATCCTCTTACTTTTCCTACTATACGAAGTACTCTCGACTCGAATCGAATTATAGAAATCGATCGATCATTTATATCGATATACTTACTGTTCACTGGTGGAAAAAAATCTGGCGGAAGGAATGCGAATTAATGATTGATTAATATGGAAGGAAACATCTATTTTTCACGCGTATTTTTCTTTTTACTATGATGTTTGTCGCGTATACTAATTCAAAACAACGATTTCAATGCATTAACGTAGACATAGAATCAAAAGAATTTTAATGTATCGATATAATATAAAAATTTTTTTATTTCTCATAATACGCGTAAACTATATTACGATTTATTTAACTATAGTTTAATTTTTTAACGATATTTTAATGTTTAAATGTTTAATTTTATATTCGAGTAGTTAAGATAATAATTATATGTATATACGAATAAGACATATTATGAAAATAATATATAATTAATAAAATTTTCGAAGATATTTCAGCTTCTAGTTTTATCCTAACGTAACTTCATAAATGAAAATAATTTTTACGATTTTGAATGTTCAAATTATAGCTCTTCTACTATTATAGTGTGTGGTGTCAACAAAGATTGTAAACAAAGCGTCTAAAGTGGGGATAGCGAAGGACGTCTCTTGCTCCAGTCCCGCCGTCCCGCAAGACTTCTTTTCACCAGTATACACAGTACACTTCGCATATAGAAACAGAATCATCAATACAACAAACGTATATTAGAAACACGAAGAAGAAAAATTATTTCTTACGTATTATAATTATAATAATTATAATATATATTATAATTATAATAATAAAAAATAATAATAATTATAATAATAAAAAATGGAATTCAATGGAAAATTCTCATTTCAAAATTAGCCCCTCCTTCTATAAATCATAATCTAAAGAGAGAAAACACCCCGTCAAATCCGCGGCGAGGCTATCCCAAGCTGCCCTTCCCTCCTCCTCCTCCGGGCGAAGCCAGGTGGCACAGCTGGTGCACTGCATGCCGAACCAGTATCAAAAGCAGCAGGCCAACCAACCTGTTTCCTGACCTCCGGCTCGGCCTCCCCTGACTCCGACTTGGGCAACAACAGATCGCCCCTTTCCTCCTCCCGATCGGTGAGGAAGTGCATACCGCTCACCACTCTCTCCGACTTGATGTACGTAGCGTCCGTGTTCCCCTCGGTGAACGCCGTTTCCTCGCCGCTCCTCGTCGCCGTCGTCGTTGAAGGCGCGGACGAGGGTGGCGGCGGGGGCGGAGGTGGCGGCGACGACGAGGACGACGACGTGCAGATCTCGAACGTGATGTCGCTCGGTAGACAGGGCAGCTGGTCTGGCCGGACATGGAAATAGAGAACAGGCAAACAGGAGTGTTAGTCGAGAAGAGTTTTAGCGAGAGATTAGTTTAGAGAGGGAAGGAGAGAAGGAAGGAAGGGGATGTTTGGATCGGTGGCGAGGAGTTCGATAAAAAAATCCGATGAGTTTTTTAGAGAGTCGAATGATTGTTTGTGTTTTACATTATATAAATTATATTCGAAGTAATATATTTAACAAGAAATCATTGTTGAAATCTCCTTAATTTAGAGGAATGGGGAGAAAAATTCCTTGGAAAATTAATTTCAATTAAGAGGCTTAATTAAGCGCGAGTTTAACTCGCGAGAAATCGTAATCCAATTGTAATTGGTAGGCGAACATTTGTTTCCACGCGCGAGGAAAAAAAGGAGGAGTGGGGTGGGGCGAAGAGGGGACGAATATAGTTGGAAAGGAGAAGCCGGAGGCTTAGAGTTAGAGAGATGTTAATGTTTCTCTGTCTTGCTTTAATGAAGGTTGCGCTAATCGATACAAGAAATAAACGGTCGGATAGACTATTGCGGTTTCTATATCACAAAAGAGTTACAAAGAAACTACAATTAGATAAAAACAAATAAAAATAATAATAGTCGTTAAATCGTTATTATCCTTCTTATCGCCACCCAGGCATCGACAAATAATATAGGTACATACGTACGTACATCAGAACAAATGTACAGCCAACCGACCGACGATAAATGTGCGAACGTGTTCATTCTTCATTGTTTCCTTTATTATATTTACTGTTATATGTATATAACTTTTTTTTTCCTTTTTCTTTTTACTTCCTTGTTTAAACGCGTCTCCACCCTCGAACAGAGTGAACGTATAATAATATAACATATAATATAATATAGTATTTATATATAATATATAATAAATTTTTTTTCTGTATTCGCTCGCGCGCGCGCGCGCGCGCGTACACGCAATTATATATCTCTTATAATAAAGTCCTCGCAACTTCTTTCTCTTCTATTGCAAAAGAAAAAAAAAAAAAAACTTAACGATTAATTAATTGAATCGTGCGGTTTAGTTTTAACCTCTTGCATGTTTTTTTGTTTTTCTTTTTTTTTTTTTTTTTCCTCCTCGTTACGTTTAACGTCATCGATATAATCGTGTATATGTGTGTATGTGTATATACCGTTTCTTTCTTCTATCGAGACATATATGCATAGTGCTGTGCAATTTCTCAAATGTGCAAATATGTGTCGGTATATATACCTTGATATATACCCATTATGTATAATCGTATAATGCGTGTGTATATTATTGTTATAACGTTACATATTGGGTGACATGCGAATTTTTGTTAAAGTGTGTTCACTCGTTAAAGTGTCGATAAAATGTGTAAGTAAAAATAACAAAAAAATACAGGTGGAGCACGTGTGGCACGTGACTCCCTCCTCTTCCCTCTATTTTTCTTTATTCAAGATGCTTTTTTCGAGCTTTCTTCTTCCATAAATGATATAAGATATAATATACTTTGAACACGCGCGCACTTTAAAGACCGCGAATATTCGTTCGCGGTGGGTAAAAAAAAATTTCCAACGGAACAACGACGTCCTGGCGATAGACGAAGAGAAAAACAAACAAATCGTTTCAATGTCAACCATTTTCGATTTGACGCGAGGAAAATATTCATAATCGCGTCGTTAAACCTACGAATAAAATTTATTACAAATTCAACTTGTGCTAAATATATAAATAAATCTATTAGCCAGAACATCGTGAAATATATATATATGTATATATGCATGTGTATATACATATATATATATATATATATATATATCATCTATATGTTGAATTCTACTTCCAACAAATATAAATGGAAACGTATTAGAAGGCGTCGCGTTAATGTCGCAAGCTACACAGCATTCAACGCTCGAATAAAATATCTGCATTATGAAAAATACGATATAACATGGTTGCTCGTGTTCCATCATCTAATTGTGTTACTAATGTGATTTCTTTTTTAAAGCCTAACGCACCTTACCGCGCTAACTAATTACCCGAGGTTACAGTTAAAATTAAAAATAAAATAATAAACGTTATTTGACGATGACAATAGTAATAGTGTAATAATAATAATAATCATAATAATAATAATAATAATAACATAATATAATAATATTAATAGAACTATTACAATAATAGTATAAAACTAAAACATAAAGGTAGTCACAATGCATGGAAAGTAAAGAAAAAAAGAAAAAGTGTAACTCGATTTTTTCGATTGCTTTTGCACATGTCATAGAGTTGATTAAATTTTTTTTTTTTCTCGTCACTTCTTTGCTTATATATTTTTTTTTTCTCAGCATTCTCTCAGCGTCGCTCATCGAGGACGCAAGGAGTCTCGTTTAAATTACTCGCACGACGAAACTTTCGTCTTTCCCTCTTTTTTTTAAACAATACGTAATTTTCACTTCGTTAATACGAATTGATCGAAATTGCATACGATGCCCATTTCTTCATATATATATATATATGTAAATACACATATATATCGATCGTCGATTCGTATTCAAATTCATACACAATTTCATCAAGGCTTCATTATCAAACATTACATATTCAAATAAACGTATCGTATTAATTTCGTTGAATCGTTTTCGTTTGGAAATCGATTCGAGATTGGAATTTTTATCTTCGATGAATCTTCAAACGCTTCTCAAACGCTTCGAATATAATATCAAAGTAAAAAAAAAATGTCACGATAACATTTTTTTTTTTTCTTCTCTTTTTCCCCTTCCCCCCCTTCTCCCTTCCCCGTAACATAACAATTACGCAATTAAATTGGACGCAAGGATTTCGTTTCGCTTTTGCTGAAATACAAAAATTTCGCTGTTTCGGACGAATGGAAGTTGAAAAGTGTCGTTATTGTTTGTTTTGCTTTTTTTTCTTTTTCCTCCCCTCATTATTACACTTAAAAACGCTCTTTCTTTTATCATTACGCGATATTATGTATAATTAAGATATATATATATTTTTTTTTTTTTGCATTTTTTTTTTTTTTTTTATATACTCATTTTATTAATTTACCGACTACGAGTACGAGATTGGTCTGAAAAGGAGAGAAGCTCCTCTCCTCCTTCTTTCTTCTCGCAGAAAAAAATCACGCGCGGGTGCGGGTATTCCCTCTCTCACGTAATATTATATCTCTCTCTTTATATATATATATATATATCTATATATTCTTTTAAATAGCTCTATCTCACGTGTTCATCATTTAATCAAACATACGCATCACATGTAATCAACATCCACGCTCATTCCCTCTCTCTCGCGCGCGTATAATATACACCGATGCGGAAGACCAAAATACTGCTTTCCGTTCGGTATTCGTTCGAAAGTTTTTTCGCAACGAATTTTTAATTCGAATTTATTCGAAAAAAAAAAAAAAAGGAAACAACGGAGGAAGAATTTGAAAGAAGAGAAAAATTGCCGATAAAAGAAGGAGAAAAAAAAAGTGTAGCAACGAATAATATTAATTTCAAAACGAAGTAGTATACTTTGAAATATTTGATAGCAATTTGTGAACTTTTGTTCGTTCGATGGAATTGGAAATGAAAAAAAAAAAAAAAAAAAAAAATAACAAATTTTGTTAAAAAAAGGTATGGTAACGAATCGAGACCTGTTTCCCTCTTCTTTCGCATAACTTCCTGTTATGAATATTTTTTTAGAACAGAAGGGATGGTATCGCGTATATATTGTTTCCACGAAAGAAACTTCGTGAAACTTCTTAGTTTTGCATTGGTTCTGCTCGATTGCGTGAACGGTGTTTGGAATATTTTCTTAAAAAAAAAAAAATTTATGTGTGTACGTGTATATGTTTGTATATGTGTCTGCATGCGCGCGTATATATGTGTGTGCGTGTGTGTGCGAATAAGTATTTCGTATTTAACTATTTCTACTCTGTCTGCGGTGTCCCAACACCGGAAAAAAAAAAAATAGAAAACGTGTTAACAATGTATCAAATAATAAATTTCTTTCAAATTTTTAAACGAACGAATGAACGAAAAAAGTATAATATAATATAATATAATATAATATAATATAATATAATATAATAATATATATATAATATAATATAATATAATAATAATAATAATAATAATAATAATAATAATAATAATAATAATAATAAATCAAAAAGAAAAAACAAACGGTCTAGACCCAGAAACTAACTGAAGGTCATTATAATATATACTATGTTTGTATACATATATAACTTTCTCTATAACTCGTCTGTGCTTGCCTGTGCATTAACTTATATACCTAGCAATAATAACCAATTTTATCGGTGCTTGTCCATAGCTAAAAGTTAATAATAATTCTTATCAAACAATATTTAATAATAGTAATAATAATAACGGTGAATAATAAAAATAATATTGTTTTTGTTGCTGCATTAATAGTAGTGCGAATAATGGTAAATCGATAGTGATAATAGTAATAATAATAATAATAATAATAATAATAATAATAATAATAATAATAATAATAATAATAATAATAATTAATAATAATAATAATAATAATAATAATTAATAATTAATAATTGGTAATAACTATAATACACTTTTCCCAGAAAAAAAAAACACCTGTACATATACCGAGACTGCTATGCAGTATTAATTCGTGTTCTTTCTTTCATTATTCTTTCTTTCTTTCTTTCTTTCTTTCTTTCATTCTCTCTATTTTAGGCACTATCTAATGAACTCTACGAGTCTCCTGAGCCCGTAGCGAACCTTTAATAAACTCTGTGATAAATATATATTTTCATCTTCTTTCTTTCTTTCTTTCTTTCTTTCTTTTCTTTAATCATCTCGCTAAATATACTTTGTTACGCACCATTGGAATCAAATCTGTTGGAAGGCGTAGAAAACGTTTGAAAAAAAAAGAAAATAATAATAATATTAATATTAATATTAATAATAATAATAATAATAGTAGTAGTAGTAATAGTAGTAGTAGTAGTAG